TGCCCTCCAACCCTCCCGTCCCTTCCCCCCTAGTTCCCATTGCCCCCCCCCCCCTCCCCCGGACTTGCCTTTGCTACCACAGTCCCCCTCTTCTTCCCAGGGCCCCTGCGTGGTGTGGGACTTGTCCATTCTGATGCCCTGGATCTCTTCGGGAGCTACCCCCCTTTAAAAAATTTCTTTTGCAACCACACTTCTTGAGGGCCCCCACCACCCCATTGCCTCCTTTCGAACCTCACTCAAATCTTCCCTTTCCCTGCTTCTGTTCATCCATCACCTTGTCAAACACCCGACCTCACATCACTTTCCCCACAGCCCGACTCTTCCAAAAAATCCCTTTAGCACAGCCCCCCAAAATCCTGTCCAGCTGACTTGTGTCCTAAAGGTCTGTCTACAGCGATATTCCCCCCCCCCCCCCGTTTCCACGGTGTGTAAAACACGCTCCAAAACCCCTCTTTTCTGTAACCTCCCCACTCCAAGGCCGTACCCCGGGTTTCCCTTCACCCCCAAAGCCGCGGGTTCTAAAGGGATCCACAGAAAAATGTCCCTGACGTCTAGGGCCCGTCTCCTGGGGCACGTGCCACCCTGTGTTCATAATCACATAAACGCTGATGTCTTTGCCCCGCAAAAAGACAAAAACCTGTGTTCTATGGTTATGCAAAGTAACATATGAGGTATCGGCCTCCCAGGGTCATTTTCAGTGTGAAGGATCCTTCGGCACCCCCTCATAAGGGGCCCGCCCCCTCCCCATTCCCATGCTCGTCGATTTTTACAGCCCAAAAACCATGAACAACTTGTAGGCTGCATGCTTTGCCTCAAAAGGAATTTCCCTTACCTTCCCCAAGAAAAAACTTAGACACATCAGAAGCATATTCCACTGCAAATTGATACCATCCGCCTTTTTTGAAATTCGTCCGATGGTAGGTAAAAGTCAGCCCCTTTGAACTTCACAAGCCCCTTGACATACCTTCAGTGCACACCACACAGCTCTTATTGGGAGCCAAAAACAGCCCGAATGTTGGGGGAACGTTACGTGGCGTTGCTTAAAGATCCTTAACCACTAAAGGGGAACAGTTTTATGGCCAGTACAGTCGGCCCGCCTCTTGGGAAAAGCTTGTTTTCCTCACCAGGGGGCTGAAAGAGAACCTGTAGAAGCGTCCTCTTCCCGCAGGTCGAGAGCGAATATTACTGATATAAACCATTGGGTATATATCAGGGGGGTTGTTGAGGGTGCGTGGGGTGTATTTATGGGGGGTGAAGGTGGTGAGAGGTTAGGGTGTGTTGAGGGGTGGGGTTGTTTGTTGAGTGGCTTTACAGCAAAGCTTAATTTTAAATTATATTAAAATTAGCGAAAAAGACAGAAAATTCTCACACAGCCCCCCCGCAGACGATCTAAAGCTGTCAAAAACCATTTTTAAAGGGCTGTAAATTTATAATTTGAAAGTTTATAAATTTTCCCCCTAGGGGTGTTTGTCAGCATATTTCATTCACTGTGGCTGACAAAATACATACTTGTTTGGACCAAAAGTCCACACCTTACTGCCGATATAGGTTTACAAAAACCTTTCGACTCAAGAACTGCGCATTCCCCTTAAAAAAAAAATTCGCAACAACCTTCTCTTGAAGGAGCTTGGTTTCTTTACACCTTCCCACAGGTATCGGTGACTGATAGAAGCTGAAGTGTCCTTGGGTGTCCAGTCTTCCATTGTTAGGAAAGCACACGGACACTAGTTCCAAAGATTTGTCTTTTTTGTTCACAATCTTTTCACAAGAGAAGCTGACACACTTCTCTTAATGTTTATTGTGTTTTTTGGATACTTTTTTCCAATTAAAGCACAAATCGTTCTTTGTTTGGGTTTTCCTGGCTCATGTCCCCTTTAATAGAGTCAAAAGTAATCTGAAGAGCCACACACCCCATGCCGTCATCCCCTTTGACAAAAAAAGCTGACCTAGTACTCTTTTCTTCCCTTTCCATTCCCCGATGAAGCAAAGAGAAGGTTTTTTTCTTGCTGTCCCTTTAAACATAGCAACAATGTCCACTTTCTTTACATGTAATAAAGGGAGCGGATTTTCCTTAATTGTCCTGCTAAAGTAAGAGATGTACTGCCTTATTTTAAAATCATTTGCAACACGCACTGCAAGGAGCACGGAACTTGACCACGTCGCATACTCGAAAGGCTCTGTGATCAATTACTACTGTAGAGTAACAAGACGCTTGCCCCCTTCGAGAGGGGTGGGCCCCTCAGGGGTGAAAGGGGCTGAAGGGCTGAAGGGGGGTGATATCCCCCCTGGGAAAAAATTTTCCCAGTGTTGACGGGGTGGGGGGGTGTTGACGGGGGGGGTGTTGAAGGGCGGGGGTGTGTTGACGGGGGTGAGGGGGTTGAAGGGGGGGGTGTGGATGATGGGGGGGTGTTTAAAACTGTGGGGTGTGTTGACGGGGGGGGGGGTGGTTTTGGGGGGTGGGTGTGTTGACGGGGGGGGAGTGTGGTGGGGGTGTGTGCTGACGATGGGCTTGACGGGGGTGGGGTTTTTATTGACGGGGGTTGGGGTGTGTTGCATGGGGGGGTGTGTGCGGACCCCGGGGGTGGTGTTTGTTGACGGGGGGGAGTGTGTTTAGGGGTGGGGTTGTTGACTTTAGTGGGGTGGTGACGGGGTGGGGTGTTGAGGGTGTGGACGGTGTTGACGGGTGTGTTGTGTTGACGGGGTGGGTGAGTTTGACAGGGGGGAGGGTGTTGACGGGGGGGGGGTGTGTGTTTATGGGGTGGGTGCGTGATGATGGGTTGTGTGCTGACAGGGGGGTGGTGTTTACGGGGGTGGGGGTGTTGCGGAGGGGGGGGGGTTTGACATGGGCGGGTGGTGTTTACGGGGGGGAGGTTTTTTGACAGGGGTGGGGTGTTTGACGTGGGTGAGTTGACGGGGGTGGGTGGGTGTTGGGGGTGGGGGTGTTGACGGGGGTGGGTGGGTGTTGCGGGGGGTGTGATGACTGGGTTGGTGTGATGAAAGGGTGGGGGGGTTTGAAGGGCGTGGGGGGTGTTTGGGTGGGGGTGGGTGTGTTGCTGGGGGTGCTGGTAATGTTGGAATGGTGCGGTATGTTGCTGGTGGTGGTGGTAGTGTTGTTGGTGCTGTTCGTAGTGTTGCTGGTGGTACCAGTTGTGTTGTTGTTGTTGTTGTTGGTGGTGGTGGTGTTGCTGGTAGTGGTGGCGGTAGTCTTGTTGTTGCTGGTAGTGGAGGCAGTAGTGTTGTTGTTGTTAGTGGTGGTAGTGTTGCTGGTAGTGGTGGCGGTAGTGTTGTTGTTGGTGGTAGTAGTGTTGCTGGTAGTGGAGGCGGTAGTGTTGTGTTGCTGGTAGTGGAGGCAGTAGTGTTGTTGTTGTTAGTGGTGGTAGTGTTGCTGGTAGTGGTGGCGGTAGTGTTGTTGTTGCTGGTAGTGGAGGCGGTAGTGTTGGTGGTGGTGGTAGTGTTGCTGGTAGTGGTGGTGGTACTGGTAGTGGTGGTGGTAGTGTTGTTGGTAGTGGTGGTAGTGTTGCTGGTAGTGGAGGCGGTAGTGTTGCTGGTAGTGGAGGCGGTAGTGTTGCTGGTAGTGGAGGCGGTAGTGTTGTTGTTGCTGGTAGTGGAGGCGGTAGTGTTGTTGGTAGTGGTGGCGGTAGTGGTAGTGTTGTTGGTGGTGGTGGCGGTAGTGGTAGTGTTGTTGGTGGTGGTGGTAGTGTTGTTGGTGGTGGTGGTAGTGTTGTTGGTGGTGGTGGTAGTGTTGTTGGTGGTGGTGGTGGTGGTGGTAGTGTTGTTGGTGGTGGTGTTGTTGGTGGTGGTAGTGTTGTTGGTGGTGGTAGTGGTGGTGGTGGTGGTGGTAGTGTTGTTGGTGGTAGTGGTGGTGGTGGTAGTGTTGTTGGTGGTGGTAGTGTTGTTGGTGGTGGTAGTGTTGTTGGTGGTGGTAGTGTTGGTGGTAGTGTTGGTGGTAGTGTTGCTGGTAGTTGTAGTAGTAGTGTTGGTAGTGATTGCAATGGCACTTCTTACTGCTATTATCGAATTTAAATAGAAGCGCTAAACCCATTTGGGTGACTCAGCGCTGGTAGACACGCAGTCACAGCTGCAACACTAACAACACACACGTAAGAATATTTCTCTAACTTTAACAAGGAAACATAAATTTCTGTTCCTACATAGGTGAGGTAGACGATGTGGATAAGGTAGACGAGGTGAATAAGGTAGACAAGTAAGACAAGATAGACGAGGCAGACGTGGTGGATAAATTAGACGAGGTGGATAAGGTAGACGAGGGAGGTTTATTGGGCAGAGTACCGAGGAGCAACTAAAACCTAGCAAAGCAGGGTGATTGTACGTCAGTGACACCTGTGCTAATACCATGGTGTTTGTACGTCAGTAACATCTGTGTCAGTACCAGGGTGATTGTACATCAGTGACACCTATGTTAATACCATGGTGATTACACCATACCCCCGGCCGGGATTGAACCCGCGGTCATAGAGTCAAAACTCCAGCCCGTCGCGTTAGCCACTAGACCAGCTAGCCACAATAAGATTCATCCAACTAGGTATATTTCTACACCATAGGAAAGTTAGCACAGGCACCTCTGACCACAAATGCAAGTTTTTACAGACGAATCTCCAGCTAGCGTGGCCGTGACGAACTCGAGCTCAAGTCCCTTCACTGCCGTCAACATGACTCAAGAAATCGTAAGCGACGGGCTGGAGTTTTGAGACTATGACCGCGGGTTCAATCCCGGCCGGGGGTATGGTTTATTAGCAATCGTGTCATTACGATTTCTTGAGCCATGGTGATTGTACGTCAGTAACACCTGTTAATACCAGGGTGATTGTAAGTTAGTAACACCTGTGATAACACCAGGGTGGTTGTACATCAGTGACGCCTGTGTTAATACCAGAATGATTGTACGTCAGTGACACCTGTTTAAATGCCAGGGTGAATGTGCATCAGTGATACCTGTGTTAAGATCAGGGTGATTGTACGCCAGTGACCTGTCTTAATACCAGGGTGGTTGTACATCAGTGACACCTGTGTTAATACCAGGGTGATTGTACGTCAGTGATGCCTGTGTTAATTCCAGCGTGATTGTGCATCAGTGACACCTGTGTTTATACCAGGGTCATTGTGCGTCAGTGACACCCGTGTTAATACCATTGTACGTCAGTGACACCTGTAATAATACCATGGTCACTATGTCAGTGACCCCTGTGTTAATACCATTGTATGTCAGTGACACTTGTGTTAATGCCAGGGTCGTTGTACGTCAGTGACAACTGTTAATACCCGGGTTATTTTACGTCAGTGACCTCTGTGTTAATATCAGGGTGATTATACCTCAGTGACACCTCTGTTAATACCACGGTGATTGTACATTAGTATTACGATAAACTTTATAAACCCTAGGCGTTGTTAGTCTAGGGGACTTTTCGAGGAGAATTGTTCTCTAGTTCTATCGTAATAAGGTTGTAGGGAGATCAACAAACATTTTAAAATGTATCTTTAATATATAAACAGACTTTATATATTACTTAAATATGAAGACCTTCAATTTTTGTTGTATGAACCTTTCATATACAGTTGACAAAAGTTACATTATTTCCTATTTTCTAAGGAGATTAGGTTAATGGCTTAGCAAACTCGAAGTCTCCACAGACGAGAACTTCTGTTTAAGGAAAATTTCACAATTTCTGGCGACTTTAAGCGAGTAAAGTGAGTAAGCTGTGGAGACCTCTACACAGAGAGAAGTGCTGTACTGTTTAATCTACCCCACTCACACCTGACGTCAGCTCGCTTCAGGTGAGTAGTGTAGAAGTGAGGCCAAACAAATTGGTCGTTACCTATTTCCACGGCAGAATAAATATATACATATAATGAAAAATGGGAAAGGTGAAAATGAATATTTAATATTATAAAGCTGATTACTCTCGTTTTAGCATTTAACGATAGTAATCGCAATATAATATTAGAAAGATAAGCAAATATGAAAGACATATTATAACTGCATGTCTGCGTAACACCCCTTCCCTTAGGACAGTATGTAGTACTGGGAATTTTTGTTTTTTCCAAAGGTTTTGTATCGAGAAGCATACGAATGATCATATCGAAGGGACTTCGGATCCGAGAGACGAGGCGTGTATCAAGCCAGACTTCTAGTATCCCGTTAGCGTTAATACATGCACACTCATTGTTCGCATCGCTATTGTGCCGTGCGGACAGGCTGCGCAGTAGCTCCTGATACAACTGGTTCACTGCGCAGTTTTCCTGTTTTGTGCATACAACATGGCGGATCGCATTGGACGCAGGGTGAGCACTGTTTGTGTGGAATTGGTGCGTGGCACGCTTACAGGAAAAAATCCCACTCATACGCATTTTTACCACACATACAGTAACGAAAATAACAAAACATTAGTAAACAGAATCGAAGGTTTAAATTTTTAAAGTAAAAATTTGACAATAAAATTTGTCAAATGATGAACTTCATTAGGGACGTGAAAGAGCGTCAGCAAGAACTTTAAACTCGGGCCTTTTATATGTTTAATGCTGAATGAATAGGGCTGAATTCTGAGAACCCACCTCAGAATTCGGGCATTTTTTGATTTCATTGTATTTATAAATGTTAAGGGGTTGTGATCGGAAAATACTGATATTTTATGAGGCGATGTTCCCAGGTATACGTCGAAATACTCTAAAGAAACTACCAGGGCTAATGCCTCTTTTTCAACAGTTGAATAATTTTTGATGGGACTTTAACTTTGATGAAAAATAGCAATTGGGATGCAAAACTTTAGTATCTGATGAATTTTGTAGCAAGACTACCCCTATAGCATAGCAGCTAGCATCAATATGCAAGATAAAGGGTTTGTGAAAATTGGGACTTTGTAATACAGGAGAGGACGTAAGCAATCTTTAATTTTTCAAAAGCTTCATTACATTCCAGGGTCCATTTAAAGGTTACTCTAGGACTAGTTAATTCAGTCAGGAGCAGCTAATTGCGCAAAGTTGGGGCAAAATCTTCGGTAGTAGCTAATCATACCCAGAAATCTTTGCACTCCTTTTCTATCACTTGGAATAGGGAATTCAGTAATGGCTTTTACTTTAAGGTTAAGGGGTACCACTTTCCCTTGTCCTATTTGAAAACCCAAGTATTTAATAGTGGCTTGTCCAAAAGCACACTTTGCTAGATTGATAGTGAAATTATAGCTATCTAGGGATTTGAATAAAGCTTCCAGTCGAATAAGGTGTTCTTCCCAAGAGTCGCTAAACACTACCAAATCAAGATTTGCCTCGACTCCTTCCAAAGGTCGAGTTAGCTCGTTCATAAGTCTCTGAAAGGTTGAGGCCACGTTACATAAACCGAAGGGCATAACTCGGTAATTGAAGAAACCATCTTTAATTGCAAAGGCTGTTTTGTCTCTATCCTTTGGCGCCAGAGGGACTTGGTAATACCCTCGCAGTAAATCAAGTCGACTCACGAATTTAGAGCTGGGGACAGTATCTATCAGGTCGTCTATTCGAGGAAGAGGGTATCCGTCTGGTATTGTGACAGAATTAAGCTTACGATAGTCCGTACACATGCGGAATGTTCCGTCTGGTTTGGGAACTAACAGGCAAGGTGACGCCCAAGGACTCTTACTTTGTTCCACAAGGCCATGTTCGAGAAGAAAGTCAACTTCTTGCTTCAACATCTGATGTTTAGCAGGGCTCACTCTATAAGGTGGTTGTTTGATTGGACACGAATCGCGGAGCTCGACTTCATGATACCCTAGAGTACAAGTTTTGGGCACATCTCCAAATAAGCTTTTATAATTCAATATTAAGTTACTTATTTCTTGCCTTTTTGAATTGTCCAGATTGTTAAGAAGTTTATCAAGATTGAGTAGAGCCTCAGAATTTTTAAGGTGAGCGTCGGCTCTTTTGACACCTTCTGATGTATTTTCTCTGATTGTAGATAAGGTAGTGATGGATGTGGTAGGTAGTGTTTTGGAATGATAAGATTTCAGTTGATTTATGTGAAATACTTTGTTCCTTTTTCCAGGTATCTTAACTACATAATTTACATAGTTTTCTTTACTCACGACTTCATAAGAACCTTGGTAACGTGGTAATTATTATTATTATAATCAAAAAGAAGCGCTAAGCCACAAGGGCTATACAGCACTGCAGGGTAGGGAAGGAAGCGAGGGTATTGGATGGCAGAAGGGAGGAGGGATGATCAGCAGGTTACAGAAAACAGCGGGGCAGGGGATAGTACGGGGGTGGAGGGTAGCAAGAGATTGAAGTAGAAAGGGCTGAAGGTATCACAATTTGTGAAGTAAGTCAGTTGTTGTCAAAAAGTCAATGAGAGAGTCCGGAAGAAAGGTGGGTCCATCAGCGAGAAGGGAAGGTAAAGAGAGAGTAGCAGAGCGAAGACGACGACAGAGGTAAATTCTGCGTGCTCGTTGATAAAGTGGGCAGTCCAACAGAATGTGGCTGACTGATAATGGAGCTTGGCAATTCTCACAGAGAGGAGCAGGACGCCTCTCCATGAGATATCCACGAGTAAGACGAGTATGGCCAATGCGAAGACAGGAGAGAGTAGTCTCCCAGCCTCGACACTGGTGATAAGAAGACGGCCAGTAACCTATACTCGGTTTAATAGATTGAAGTTTGTTGCCGAGCATAGTAGACCAACGTTGTTGCCAACGGGTGTGAAGGTGGGAAGAATTTGCAGCAAAATAGTCCGTAAATGGAATACCTCTAAGAAACTGGTAGGTCATGTACTGCTGACCGCGCAGCAGTGTCTGCCTGTTCATTGCCCTGTACGTCAACATGACCAGGGACCCAACAAAAAACAATATCTTTATGCGTGGTAAAGATGCGGCGTAGCCAAAGTTGGATACAGAGGACTAAGGGGTGAGGTGTATCAAATTTTTGTATAGCCTGTAAAGCACTAAGGAGTCTGAGACAACCACAATGATGACAGGCATAGATGCAATATGGATAAGTGCTGTAAGGATGGCATACAATTCAGCAGTAATAATACTAGCTGAAGATAGTAAATGCCCTCGTACAACGCTGTCCGGAAACACTGCTGCGAATCCTACGCCGTCAGAAGACTTAGAGCCATCTGTGTACACGGCAATGGCATGAGAATGAGAGTGAAAGTGGTCAACAGAAAGAGCGGGAAGCGACTGTAGACAGTTGGGCTTTCGAGCAAGGGAGGGAGAAAGAACAGATTCGAACAGCTGGAACTTCCCAGGGGGGTAGGGAAAAGTGAGATGCTACATGTACATAGAAAGGTGGTAGTTGAAGAGAAGACAAGAGCAAATGAAGGCGAAGAGAGAAGGGACGGAGTAAACAGGGGCAGCGAACAAATAATGTCTACTAATATCAGTGACCATTCTATAAATGGAAGGATTGCGGAGATCATGAGAGCGTACATAGTAGCGCAGGCAATGGGCATCACGGCGATCAGATAAGGATGGAACGTTCGCTTCTGTATAGAGGCTCTCGACAGGGGAAGAGCGAAAAGCACCAAGGCATAAACGTAATCCTTGGTGATGAATGGGGTTAAGGCTAGAGAGTAGCAGGAGATGCCACTGAATTGATCTGGTCACCATAATCAAGTTTCGATAAAATAAGGGTGGAATGTAGGCGGAGGAGGGTTCGACGATCAGCTCCATGAAAGATGAGCAAGGGTTTTAAGAAGGTTCAGCCGGCTGTGACAAGTTGCCTTCAGAGAGGTAATGTGAGGTTTCCAGGATAACCTACGATCAAAGAGGCCCAGAAACTTGACTATCACATTCAGGGATACGGGAGCCATAAAGGTACAAAGGATGATCAGAGATGACAGAGCGTCTAGTGAAAGTAATTTGGTGGGTTTTAGTGCTGGAAAATTTAAACTCTCGTATGGTGGCCCAATTGGAAACACGGTCGACTGCATGTTGGAGAGAAACTGTAATGAGGTGACAGTTAGTGCCTGCACAGGCAATAGCGAAGTCATCAACAGAGTGATGACCAAATATTTGATGGAAGACTAGAGGCCAAAT